CAATCAAACTTGACATCGAGATATATGTCACATAAGCAGGTGTACTGAAGATGTACTTTGCAGGACCAAGCATCAGATAGGTATAACACTTGATATTCTGAAAACTATGTGGATACTACACTGAATAAGAACGAATGGAAGTGTCAAAAGGAGGCTAAAGGCAAAAAATAGATGGAACAGAGCCTAATAGATAGATAAGTCATATTTTAGCCAGGAGAGAGTCGATGAGTGTTATATAGTTATTTATGAATGTATTTTTAATGTATAATTTCAGTTTATTTTCATTTTTGGTATAAAACTATGGCTGACATAATAAAACTCTTAAAAGTATATATATTTTCAATCTTTATTACTATACATTATTTAGTATTCATTTATTCTCTCTGACCTAGGGAAAAGGTCAGAAAACCCTGGTCATAATTGTTTACAATGTTGCGTGTTCCTAATGATACAAAACATTACAGAGGAATGATACTTAGACGATGAAATCTCATCGAGTTCACGCATGACATATTGTGGTATGGAAAAGGACTATCTCTGATGCATCAGCAGATTTAAATTTATTTTTGCGTACTGTTTTCTATCAACTGATATCCCAAATTTATACAAGCCACGTCTTTGCACCACAATGAGACATATCATCAAATCTGCTTAATCTCGTACCATTTTTTTTAAGTATCAAGGATATTCTTGGTGTAGCTGATCATCATGTTTCGAGTCACTGATCCTAAAAAATAACAAATATCAATAAATAGAATTCGGAATTTATTCCAAAAATATTTTTCTTTGGGAATTATATAGGATTTCTCGTTAATATACTGACAAACTTTTAAAGGTGGTAGGTGCATCAAAATAAACATTTTTTTGCTTAATAAAATAAAAATAATTTTATTGCCCAACAAATTAATCCATTTACAGAACAAAATACATGAAATAAATGTTAAACATAATATTTCGACAGAAAATAAATTTAGCAACAGTAAGAAAAAAAAAAGAAAAGAAAGAATCCTAAATACATTAGCTACAAATTAGTACAACTAATGGTCGAAATAAATATCCCAATCAGAACAAAATTAATTAAAATTTGAGCACATTAGCCTTATAGGTGAATTTCTTCCCAAGTTCGTTCAATTACTTGCTGTATAAAATGTTTTATGATATCTAATGGCTATTTGGGGAACATTAAAATTTATTTAATTTATCAAAAATAGTACATCAATAGTGTTATGTAATATTTTATAAAAAAATGTAACACTGGAAACTACCCTTCTATTTTGGAAAGAAGCAGAGATTCTTCAATACCTCGAATGGGATACAGCTCATCTATTTTAAAAGAAAGGTACTTGAGAGATCGCCGCTGAACATTTTCCAATGATCTTTTATGAATATTGTAAATAAGGTTCCAGATAAGAGATGCATATTCTAGCCTGGAACGAACTAAAGAAAAGTAAAGCATCTCCAAGCTTTAAGAGTTTGTAAAAGAACGAGTATTACGAATTAAGAACCCTAAGCTTTTCAACGCAGAAGCAACTGTATTTTCAATATAATCCGAAAAAGTAACTTTTTGGTTGAATAATGTAACTTTTTGGTTGAATAATATACCTTAATCTTCAATTTGTGCACAAGTCCGATAAATGTAGACTGTTAAATAAATAATCAAACTCCACCTTGTTAATCAATCAATATATGTTTATTGTCAAAGCTACAAGAACTTATAGATATATAATACTTCTAGTATAGGAACATACTTCATATTTAGACACATTCATTCAGCTTGTTTTCATTACACCAATTTTCAACGATTCCCAAGTTGGGTCTGTAAAAAGTAACAATCTTGAATTGATGAGAGAGATTGAGGTAAATATTTTTAAGTCAGCAGCGAACAGCAGGTTAAATTTGTTGCCAAGTCATTTATAAATATACTAAATAATAGTGGTCCCAGATTGGAGCTCTGTGGAATTCCAGATGTTGCTGTGAGGGGTGAAGATGAAAATCCGTTGTAAAAGACATAATTAAAACGATGATTTAGGTAAGATGAAAATAATCTCAACAGCGACTGATCAAACCCTAAGCATTCCAACTTCCTTACAAGAATATTATGATTTTTAATTATTACAAAATACATTATGTATGATCAAAAAATATTCTAAACATATTTTAACTAACAAGAGTTTTATTTTTAACTAGTTATATTCAAAAACATGTAATTTTTAAAACTATGTTTAACAATAACCGATGAGTATACAACAAGGTTCACAGTTTAAACTAAGTCTACATTTTAACTGCCTATTGTACAACCCGCCATATGTACAATTAAAAATTAATTGTATTTCTTTAAAATGCACCTTATTCTGTTGATCAAAACCATTCGATAAAAAAATTAAAAAATATTGGTATAAAGGTGGTTTTTATATCTATGCTATAAAGCATGCATTGGGGTAGCATGTAGATTATCTAAGTATCAGGTCAGAGAGATTAAAATTAAATAACATATGTAGTGGGATTCTCATCTTTTGAGTACGTCTCCTATCGAGACTCCTATCTTTGGACAGACAGCGATTTTGATGTAATGTCTCTCTATATTCTGTATATATCTCGAGTTGGCACAAAAGAATCGCTGTTCTGATCAGAAGAAATTAACCACATCAAAGGAAGAAAATTAGGTTCCCTGTTATTTTTAATTTATATTAATGATCGTTAATGTTGCAATAATTAATATGACATTTACCTGTTTGCCTTTGATGTCCTTATCTATGTTTCTTGTAAGTTGTAAGGATTCAGATAACTAAGAGTTAATTGTCAATGAAACTCTGCAAAATGTTTATAAATGATGTTGCAATCATTTGTTAAAAATCAACACAAATACCTAAAACAAAATATAAGCTGATAAGTAATAACTATATGCAGTTTGTGGACAAACAATATAAGAAATTGGAAGAAAATCTATACAGTTAGTAGAAAAATTCAAATATTTAAGGGTAATTATTCGGAAACAGATGAAATTCACAGACCATATGCAAATACTGTTATCAAAACAATTGCAGTTAAATTACATTTCCTATTTAGAATCATAGAATGTTATTAAAATAATTGTTATTACATTATTTTTTATTAAATTTGAATATTGTGATATTAGCAAACTAGCCAAATAAATAAAATAAAAACCGAAAACATACCTGGATCTACAATAATATATATATATATAAATAATATAAGTTCATTGCATCTTTTAAATTATTAAAGTCCATTAAATTGAAATGACACGTCAAACCATAAACGTCAAACTTTCAAAACAAACATGCTTGTGTTCCAAACAGAAAATAGCATTTATAGAATAATTTATTTACTTGCAACCTTTCCCCACACACCACTTCGCCCCTCACCCATAAACATGGTCAAATTGGGCTAAGCCATTTTACATTCGTCTGCATAGGGAGCGATGTTGCAATTTTTCAATTTTTAGTGTCTATTCCGTCTGTTCAGATGGCAGCATCTTATGGGCCCTACATTTTTAAATCTTATCACAAGAATCCTGAAATAATTAGGCAAAAATAAAAGAATGTATGTTGCGTTTTAACTTTTAAATACTATAAAAAATGATGGAAAGTCCATAACTTTTAAATATTTGTTAAATATCACTTATTAAAATATTCTGCATTAAAAGTAAAACAAACCATAGACTTTCCATCATTTTTTACAGTTTTTTGAACCCATTTATGAAAACAGTTTCTGAAAATATTATCGTTCAGAGCTGTATTTCTTGTGATAAAAAAGTTGCCGTCACTTGTCATTGAACTTGGCCTTAATTTATTATTATTTATTCTATTCTCTATTCTTCTCATGCAGAAAATAGTCTTCTATTCTGTCATGTATCTAAAAACACATATTGGTATTATTGGTAGCTGAATAAACACATTGACTGAGTCCCTTTAGCATGAGGACGTAGAGATTTTTGAATAAGAAGACGAAGTAAATAGAATTCGATGGTAGGTAACGAGTCACGGATTCGGATCGTCTTGAAACGAGTGTTCTATCAGGGGACCTATTTTCAAACCGTGTGACGTGTGAGTGAGTACTCATTTCTCTCAAGATTTCAGGAGAAATGTCATATGTCAACGTGGAAACTGTATTTTGAAAACCAGTGACTACCTCATGACTACTCACTGACCTTTTCTCTCGGTTTATTTTGAGAGAATTCATATTCTCAGGAGAATTTGACCACGTGATTGGGGGCGTGGGTACCCTTCCTCCATGTGTGTACCCATAACCGATGTGTGTACAAGGCCAAGTCACATACTACCTTTCTCTCGATAGAGCACTCCTTTCTCTCAATAGAGCACTCCTTTCTCTCGAGTTTGAAAATAACCCCCCTGGAGAGTATAATAGTGAAAATGTGTTGACATTTTTCTGGTTTCTTCAAAATGCGCTGCAAACCATCCGAAAGCCAGTGGAACAGTTGAATATCAAAGTATTCGTCGGGCAAAACTTTTAATTTTTCCACTGTTCAGTTAGTATTCGGACAGTTTTAAACATATTTCTAAAGAACCAGAACAGACCTATGGTGTTAAGTTTGTATATTTTTTTATTATTAAAACAAAATTTATATCAACTAATTTATGCTACTTTTTATTCAACAATCCTTGCAGCTCTACAAACTTCAGTCATCTGATTTTGGTGTACGCAAACTATTTAGAAACATAAATTACCTATGTATCCGAATTCGGAATCAGAAGGGCAACAGTAATATGGGAAAAGAGTGATTTTTTATCAACATGACGAATATTACCAAGGTCATTTCATTCTACAAGGTTTCTTTAGAATGAAGTTAGCCTTTATTACCACTCGATAGATTGTCTCAATCTTTCCTTCTTTCAAAATAAATTAAAAACCAGCAAAATGAGAGAATAAAATATAACCCTTTATTAAAAACTTCCCTACTTACTGCTTTAATAGTAGTAAAATTTATAGTTTTTTAATCAGTCAGGGCCGTTTGCACCGATAGTCGGCTTAAATATTTAAACTTTGCTTTATTTTTATCGAGTTGCACCGTCAATTTTTAATTTGGCTTTGTTAAGCGGTAACAATAGAACTACTGTGATGCTAGAAGGTCCAATGATCACTTTTAACTATCTTCATGCCGAACACATAACCTAACTTCTTCTGTTTCCATTTATTTTTTATCTGATTCGAGTATTGCCGCCACATTTTCCGCGTGTTAATTGAGTTTTTTGATTGTTTTTTATAGTGTGTTCTGTGTTTATAGTAATGGAAGGAAAAAGGCAACGCAGTACAAATTTTTCCCATGCGGAACAATCAATTTTATTAAATATAATTTCAAAATACAAAAATAAAATTGAAAATAAAAAAACAGACAGTGTTTCGGTTACAGAAAAGAACAGAACATGGGAAAAAATACAGGAAGAGTTTAATGCTTTAGCACCAGACCATTCCTACAGAGCCGCCGTAATGTTAAAGAAATTTTATGAAAATAAAAAAAAAAATGTACGTAAAGTGGCAGCTCTGGAAAAAACAGAGATAATTAAAACGGGTGGTGGCCCACCACCCAATATTAAAAAAGACTCTAACCATGATTTAATATTGGGCCTCATGAACGTGAAAACAGTGTATGGGTTAGACAATGAATTTGATTCTGATAATCAGATTATTGCAGAACCCGAAGACCCTGCTGAAAATGAGGAGTTTGTGTATGAATTTGGCAGTAATGAATATTGGACAATCGAAAAAGATGACAATATGGTAAGTTTAGAAGTTACAATTTTACTTGCAAACAAACATTAACACAAAAAACAGCTTATATAACAGAAAACTTAATATTAGTTTCAGAATGAAGTTTTTGATGAACAGCCAAGAAATAATCCTATAACAATTGATTCACCATCTACTTCTCATGTAAGTATCTATATACATATTATCCACTATAAACTAAATGTCAGTGCATGTATAAATGTTTTCATTTAATATTATTAACAGACTCCTAGCTTGTTTTATTTGCTTGCGAACATATACCTTGTATATTATCTGTTTACTTTGTAAAACTATTTAATTTTTAGGTTCAAATACAAACTTCCCAGACAGTACAAACGCCCACAAGTATAATGCATACTAATGAAGTGAGTACTTGTTTTTTTTGTACTAAGAGTATTGAGTTTGTATATTATTGCATTTTATATTTACTTTGTAAGTAATCTATAGCAAGACTATTTAAAATTTTTAGATTCAAATTCCCAGTTCTTCCCAGACAGTACTAACACCTACGAGTATAGCACATCATCCTAACAAAGTGAGTATATTGTGTACTAAGAATATTGAGACTGTAGATTATTGAATTTTATAACCATGTTTACTTTTAAATAATCCTACAGCAAAATTATTCGAATTAATTTTTAGGTGCTAAATCCCAATTGTTCACAAAAATTACCAACACCTACAATACCACATCACAACAAAGTGAGTATCTACATTTTGAACTAAGCATATTGAGCCTGCAAATTATTGCATTTTATGTTTACTTTATAAGTAATCCAAAACTATTTGAAATATTTAATTTTTAGATACGAATTCCCAGTTCTTCACAGACAGAGCCAACTACGAATATAATGCAACCTCATAAAGTGAGTATTTTTTGTAATTAAGATTATTGAGAATGCAGATTATTGCGTTTTATATCCATATTTACTTTGTAAGTAATCCTAAAGCAATATTATTTAATTTTTAGATACAAATTCCCAGTTGTTCTCAGACAGTACCAACACCTACTAACAAAGTAAGTACTTGTACTAAGAATGTTGATATTGCAGATGATATTATATATATATATCTAACTCTATGAATTAGTTTTTGTAATAAATTTTACATTTCCTATGATAAAATATATGTCCTTAATACTATTTTTATAAAAATGTTTGAACAGGCAAAAAACCAATTTGTTAGAAGAAAACGTCCAGCTACTGTTGTAAGAGCACTTACAAGCTCAAGATTGGCTGAAAAATATGATGATTTGGTTGATAGGAGGCTAAGAATTGCAGAAAGGACAGAGAATGAGTTCAAAGAGAAAACTGCGGAACATTTAAAGAGAATGGAACTTTTAGATTTTGAAATTGCAATAAAAAAAAGACAATTGAATTTAAATTAGTTAAGATTAATTAAGTTTGCTTTATAAATTTAGGTTATTTTAATAAATAAAGGTATAGTAAATAAAAATATAATTTACATTTAGTATTTATGTATTTCCAAAATTTGTTATATGTTATACATTTAAATTATAGTTAAGATTAGTTAAGCTTGCTTTGTAAGTTTAAGTTAATTCAATGAGTAAATATGTGTAAATAAACTAAAACTTAAATATCACTTCACATTTTTGATTTATCTATTTCCAAAATGAGTTATTATCATATGTTGTACATTATGGGGAATGTTATAATTTTGAGGAATATTAGGAATTTGACCAGTTTCAATCAGATAACTCATTAGCATTGATTTCTTCTGGGAGTGGTGGTTCAGGCTCATTCATATCAATTGCTATGTTATGTAGAACTGCGGTAGCAATTATGATAGTCTTAACTGTCCTTAACTTTAAACGGGCACCATAAGCCATAATTGGAAACCTTCTTTTCCATAGTCCAATTGCCCTTTCTACAGAATTTCTGGTTCTAATTAACGATTCATTATACAGTTCTTGAGCTCGCCCATTGGGATTTAACAGAGGAGTGAAAAAATAATTTCTAACTGGATATCCACTATCTCCTGCAATTAAATTATTAGCAATAATCCAGTAACTTTTCATTAGGAAAAATGTGAATAATAAGTAAATATGCATGCAATTTATTTAGGTATTATATTATTAACAAACCTAGTAAGTAACAATTAGGGAAATTGCCCTGTTCAAATTGGATCTTTAGAAAACTATTGTTAAAAATTGTCGAATCATGAGCAGACCCAGGCCATCTTGCAACAACATTAATAAATTTTAAATCTGCATTACATGCAACCTGGGTGTTAATAGAAAAATAAGATTTTCTATTACGAAATATTTCTGCATCATCCCCTCCTGCAAATGTAAAATAATATAGGTATGTACAATAAGTATAGAAAATTCAAATTGTATGCAAATCAGTACAGAAAATTGTTAACCATGAAGACAGCAAACAAGAAAATATTCATAGTTACCTGGTGATTGTATTCTTATATGTGTACCATCCACTACCCCAATTACTCTAGGAAACCTTCCAATGGCATGAAAGTTTGTCTGCTCTTTAATTAATTCATTTTGATTTGGTAATTTGATAAATTGTGGGGCCAATCTTGCAATAGCCTCGGATACTCTAACTAAAATCCGAGACACTGTGGATATATCCATTCTCATAAATTCGGCAACACTACTAAGGTGGCCTCCTGTGGCGAATAAACGCAGCGCTACTAATAATTGATTCATTGGAGAAACTGCATTATTTCTAAAATAAATAGTATTACACCATTGCACAAAAGTTTGTTAGCATAATTAACATTGGTACTTACATATCGTTATTTGGATAGGTCAATTCCTGCTGAATTAATTCAAGAACATATTGAGTTGTTTCTTTATAGAGTCTAAATCTCTTAAAAAAGGTTAATTCACTATATGTCTGAAACGGATCATTTCTTAGGTAGATCTGTCGTGGAAATCCGTATTCTATGATTTCTAAAATATCTAGATCATCATCAAAAATTTGTTCATCGATATTCATTATAACTATTAAAAATTTAAATAATCCAAAAACGTGTAACGTAGAGAATAAATTATTTTTGTAGGTTAGAAAATACCGCTTAGCAAATAAAGCCGTCATTCTCGGCGACTTAAATAAAGTTTGGCTTTTAATACTTTAAAGCCAGCTTACTGCTCCGTGCAAATGAATTTTGGTTTTAAGCCGGACTTATACCAAAGCCTAGCTTATAATACGTCGGTGCAAACGGCCCTCAGCCGTTAGCTCAATGAAACAACAAGGTAGCTGAATACACATATTAACCGAGGCATATCAGAAAGAAGTCGATTTGGAATAAGAAGATGATAGAATTCGATAGCTAAAGCTAACGGAATTGATGTTGGTTTTAGTCTATAGTCGAAAGCTGTGATAGGAAAATATAATACTAAGAAGGTATTAAAGTGTATTATTTGATAACTTAAGCATTTAAATTTCGATGTATTTATATTATTTAATGATATATGCATATTTCGTAAAGGTACAACAAAAATAATACAATCATAAAGCAGGTACCTATCTATATAAAAATTTACCTGTGAAAGCATTTTGTTAAAATACTGATAGACAGAAAAATATCGAATTTATTCCAACCTATACGTTCTCACTGTATATTGAAAAATCCAGGGGGTAGCTGTCCCCTGCTCACATTGTATATGCAAATGATTTCTTTTAACTTATTTTTTATTATTCTATTCTCTATTCATCTAATACAGAAAACAGTATTCTATTCTCTCATGTATCTAATAGTAATTATTAGTATTAATGGTAGCTGAATATACACATCGATTGAGGCCTTTTAGAATGAGGAAGAGGAGATTTTCGAATAAGAGGACGAAGTAGCTAGAATTCAACGGTAGGTAACGAGTTACGATTTGGATCGTCTTGAAACGAGTGTTCTATCAGGATAGTATAATATAGAAAATATTGGTGTTAAGTTCGTATATTTTTTTACTCAAACAAAATTTATATAAACTAATTTATGCTACTTTTTATTCAACAATTCTTGCAGTTCTACACACTTCAGTCATCTTATTTTGGTGCACGCAATCATGCAATACTTTGTCTTGAAAACTATTTAGAAACCCAAATTACCTATGTACCTATTAAAATTCAAATTCAGAGGGTAACAGTAATGTGGGAAAATAGAAATAATTGACTGTTTGTACCTACCAATGAAGTGGAGAGGGGTAGAATGATAACTGTCAATGAAAAAGTCTGGACACTATGCACAATTTCGTTTTGCACATTTTGTAAACAAAATTCAGGGACGGTTTAACAACATTTTGTGCAACAATTATAAAATACTGAATCGAAAAATAATTAACAAGTATAATTTAATACTAAATCGGAATAAAAGCATAAAAAATCATAAATATAAGCAAGATAACAAAGAATTGATGCCAAAAAAGCTTAAAACATCCAAAACACAAATAAAAAACAGAGCTGAACATGAACATAATCGCTGAATAAAATCGATCCTGGAATTTGTTTACAGTGCTTTAGGGCAACCTCTCCTTGTCATTTACGTGTGTAAGAGTGGAAGGCTGAATCACGCATAATTTCTACACTCGTGATGGATGCGCAGACGGTACCTTATCGATCTACCCTCTCTACTTCTTTGGTACCTACCTAAATAAATAGTGATTTCTTATCAACATGACGAACATTACCAACGTCATATGTCATGCTACAAGAGGTAGGGATGTTCGATATACATCGATGCATCGAAAACATCGATATTTTCGATGCGATGCATCGGTATTATGCGATGCATCGAATGCTTAGAAATATATTCGATACATCGATGTATTTTTCTCGATATATCAATTGCCTAATAACAAGAGTTTTTACTTCAAATGAAAACATCTCGGAAAACATAGTCTTTATAAATTTAGTAAAAAATAAACTTTTTATAATTTTATTTTTTATTTAACCAATTCTATGAATCGCAAACATCGATTATTTTTTGCGTAATACTGGTATACCTATATACATCTAGAAAAACATTTTACATTTCTCTAAAAAAAGGTTTTGAGTTTCAAATGTTGATATTTTCGATGCATCGCAAACATCGATGTTTTTCCCCGATGTATCGAAAAGTATCGATGTCACGTAACGATGCATTACATCGGAAAAAACATCGATGTATTTTGTCAGTGGACATCCCTAACAAGAGGTTTTTTCGTTCGTCCCACTGGTGTAGGAATGAACTACACCAACGTACACTAAACCTTTCGTTCGGCCCGGTGTAAAATCCACTAAACCTTCCTGTCGGCGATGTGGTATCCACTGGTGGATATTTTCTCTACCAGCTATTTAGCAGGAGTGAATTACACTCGACATGTATGTATATAAGGAATAAGGAGGGAAGTAAACTAAGGTAAATAAAGTGGTGTAACTGGTGTAATTTACACTGGTGTACACTTCACCAATATCGAACGAAAGAACCTATAGTTTCTTCAGGATGAAGTTAGACGAGATGCTAAATGCCACTGGTAGCTCCATTTAATGCGCATGCTCGCTAAATGTGTCATCAAAATTGGCGCCGTTTTTAACTTGTCATTCTCTCCTTTGTTCATTCTAGAAGAGTGATAATTGTTGTTTATCAAAATGGAATGTTGTAATACTCCGTTTGTGAGAAATTGTTTTCTAAGAAGTCCAATTTAAATAGACATAGTCGAGAAGTACACGGTTTGGAAACAGAAACAGGACTGCAATACCTAACTCATCCTACCAAAAAAGTGAAAGTTTAATACAGCAAGTTCACAATTACAGGATATTGTATTTGCAAATAAAAATGGTAAAAGTTTCCCTTTTATTCCAATATGATGTTTTAAGCACCAATATTTGAAAGCTGGAAAAGCAATTTTGAAATGGTTAATATAAGTGTAACTAATATCTACACTATAGCTAGAACGTAGAAGAGTACTGGAGGAAATGTTATTTATTATAACCACAATTTAACAAAAAAACAGATAAGATGAATAATTTTCAGTTGTTTAAAACATTTAATGCAAATTTAACAGGTAAAAGCAATGCTCAGAACTATGAAGTCCTTTGTTGAAAAGTCACAGAAGTTTTGTAAATTAGATGTTATTGCTTGTTGTTGCACAAGTCATATAAAGCTAAGAGATGATGAGAATAAGCAGTATATGTACCCTTTCAAAATATACATTATGGTCACAATCTAGATTTGCAACACTTGAGAATTTCAAAAGTGAATAAAGGGTCTACTACCTAATAGCTTCAAAATTATTTGCATTGTGGGTGTATACAAAATCAGGTAAAATAATATTGGGTTTTATTGTAATAACATATATTTTTTTAATAATTTGACTATATTATTATTATACATAATATATATTTTCAATAAAAATCTTTGTTTTTATTGGTT